CAGTTAATGTAATCAGTTGAAACAACATAATATTATCGTGTGACGAACATAGTTTAATACCAATTTGTTACGCGAAGTATTATCAACACAACAAACCCGTTCCCATCATTTTCATAAACATTTGTAATTTTCACAATTCAAATAAGTCAGGGCAAATTCGTCAAAATCGTGCGATAGAATGACATTGGAATATTTTCAAAGATATCACTTCACACTGGGCTCGTTGATTGGATTCAACTGCTTTTTAAAATTTATAAATATTCAAAAAATGCGGAAGGAAAGGGGTTTGTTGTGTCAACTTATGGGTATAATTAACAAATAGAATAAAGGACGGGTTAGTAATACTAATCAGATGCAGAATACAAATAATTGAGGATGCTTCGACGGCTTGTGGCATTCAGTTACTAACTCGCAGTTTTGAAATTTGAAGTAATTTAACAACGCCACGTGAGCCTGCGTGGAAGTTACGTGAACCATTGTCCTCAAACGTTAAATGTGAACACGTTTGTGAAACGCCGATTGAAAAGTCAAGAAGTTTGTATAAAAAAACACAGTTTTCACGTGCAGATCTACAACACTGATGTTCATGTAAAAAGCTTGGAAAATGAAATCAATGCCTAGACAGAAAACAGGAATATAATGCATTATTTAGTCAATAGCCGTGATTGGTACATGGAATAAAAAATCCTCATCCTCAACGCGCAAGAATAAAATAAATAAAAAAAGGTACATTTAATTTAACAAAATGACAAAATAATGAAGAGTATAACAACTTGAATACGATGTAAAATAAAATAATTAGCGGTTAGCGGCATTAAAAGAAATTTAGAATAATTTTAGAGATTACCAAACTAGTAATGCGGTATAAAGGAGAACTAATAGCTACATGGCTGATTCATGTTTGTGTATACATATTACCGGTGTTTGAAGACTTCCAGGTGAGGCGTCGATGCTTGGGTGAAACCAGTCACGTAAGGCAAACACTTGGTATGGCAGAGATGTACAGCAACACAATTCAACGGTCTTGGAATGTCCCCAGTTTCACAAATTCACCAAACAGGCAGGGTCCTCTGGTAACTTGGCCAGAATCACAGAGACGTCAGTAGACTTGTGGTCTGCTCCTTATGTTGAAACGAAGACTCGTTTTATAGAATATGGACATGCAAATTTGTTACAGTCACTACATCTGGTGAAATAGCGCATCTTAAATGCCATCCATCAGGTTGCACATAATTGAATAAAGAGTTAACAGTTCACACAATGAAAGATCCACCTGCTTACATTA